AATGGGACTGAGCTAAAGCATGTGTCGGCTCACATTTATTCAAATGTCAGCAGAATAGAAATGGATTGAGGTTTCCATAGAAACTGCTCTTGAGTTCAGGTGTTTCTTGGGGCTTTTTGTTCCATTAACTGTTTGGAGAAAGAGGTATATGTTATGGCTTTTCATTTATGCTATTTACTTTGTCGTTAGAAGTTGGCTGGTGGAGTTACTATGTCCTTTGTTTTATGGCATTTTTGTGAACCCCTCTTACAGCCTTTCCCCTCCAGCTGAGAAACGGGAAGGAGCAATTTCTACGACCTGACAAATCCTGCCCCTTAGCAGTGTCTGTTCAGGCAGCATTTCTTCAATTTCAGCCAGAAAGGAAGTTTGAACATCTCTTACCTAGAAATTTATGTAATTCATTTTCTTATTCAAGATTTACATTATCCCTATGGAATGTCACCATTATAAGACGTTAAGAACAAAGCAATGACTATGAACTTAATTAACAACCACAATAAAAAAAAGGATTTCTTGGCATTAGTAAAATATTCAGGTATAAAATCTAAGATTAAAGATAATCAACCTTTTCAACTCACACACAATCGAAATAGCTTCCTGGAGAAATAATGTCCCTTCCCATGATATAGGAAAAAAATTAAACCGGGGAAAAAAAAAACCTGAACAATTCAACTTAGAGGGACTACAATGTCTCATGTCTATTACCGAATGTCACGCTTGCCTGTAAATTAAACTGGAACATAAAAAGCTCACAGTGTACTCCCAAAGGTATGTTAATAAAGAAAAGCCAATATAAAATAGAAATAGTAATGACAAATAGCAAGATAGGCCTTGGAGTTCCCTACAGCAGGCTAGTGTAGAAGAAAACCCAAGAATGAGCCCTGAAGTCTGACAGCTCAATTTACATCTCACCATGGCCACTTACTACTTAGGATCTTGAATAAGACCCTAATCGCTATACATGTCAGTTCCCTCATGTGTAAAGTGAGAACAATAATGTCTACCTTGCTGGGTTGTTGTAAGGATTAGCGGTAATAGACATGGTTCCTTCTTATCAGTGTATTAAACATCTGAAATACTGCAATCACGAGGTTGCGGGGATGCAAAATTCTTCATATCGTGAAAAACTCACTAAATATCTAATCTCTTATACAATTGGTATTCATTCCAATATTTTCCCCAGATTAACCCTAGCATTTTTCTCAGTTTATGTTTCAAATTATTGAATCATCTCTAGCTGATTATATGAGGTTTCCAATATCTTACGCACTTAGTACTTAACTTTTCTCTGCCTCAGTTTTCTCGTCTATAAAACAGAAATGATGATAATACTACCTTCTGCAAGGAGGAATTAAGGTTAATATTTGCAAAATTCTTAGTACAGTGGTAAATCATAACAAACACATGAATGTGTTGTGTATCAAGTAAAAATAAAAACAAGACTGGGTGCGGTGGCTCACATCTGTAATCCTAGCACTTTGGGAGGCTGAGGTGGGCAGATCACCTGAGGTCAGTTGTTTGAGACCAGCCTTGCCAACATGGTGAAAACTCGTCTCTACTAAAAATACAAAAAATTAGCCAGGCGTGGTGGCACCTGCCTGTGATCCCAGCTACCCGGTAGGCTGAGGCTGCAATGAGCCGAGATGGCGCCACTGCACTCCAACCTGAGCGACAGATACTCTGTCTCATAAAAAAAGAAACAAAGAAACAAATTAACTCTATAGCAAAGTCACTGAAACATGAAGTAACATGATTAAAAGTAGAAGAAAACCCAGAAGGTGTATAACGGGATAAAAACAACAGTAAATATTGATATGTGTATCATAAAGGTTGAGAGGCATTTGTGAAAATGGTTAGTCCTGGAGTACTTTCACACATAAAGAAATGACTGCGTTTGTTACTGAGCTTATAATGTCCAACATGAGGTTGTGGTAGTGGGCCTCCAAGATGGCACCTGACTACCCCACCCCATGTCAGCTCCACCTCTCACATCTTACCAAACTGGCTCTGTGTAACCAATGGCAGAAGAGATGATACGTTTCAAGATAAGGTTATAAAAAGACACTGCTACTCCCACCTCAGTCATTCCCTGGTCCACTGTCTCAATTTCTCCAATCACTTGTTCTGCAGGAACAAACAGCAGTCTGGAAAAGCCCAGCCTTCTGATAAGATCCTGAGAATTTTGTCCAAAGGCCTAAGAGGAACCGAGGACTCCTGCTAACAGTCATATGAGCTTGAAATTGAATCCTTTAACCCTGGGAAACCTTCAGAGAATTGCAGCCATATGCAACAGCTTGTCTGCGACCTCCTGAGACACTTTGAGCTAGAACCACCCAGATAAGCTGCTCCTGCCAGGTCCACAGAAACTGTATAAGAAAAATTCATATGTTACGATGCTAAGTTTGAGGGTTATATTTTATGTGGTAACAGATATCTAATACAGAGTTGAAGGAAGTTCCATGTGCTATTCTGCAAATTTGACGAAAAAAGTACATCTCCACATATACATGTAATTTGTAGTGTTTATTCTAAGAATTAGCAGATACTTGCCACTTTCACTTTTCAAGACACTTTTCAAAAACTTTGTTTTACTATGTAATAGATGATTCAGATCTCCCTTTTAACTGACCCAAAATTCTTTACAATCTGTGTGCTTCTTATTTATCTCATATTCCACTCTCCTCCCATCCTCTTTTTTTTCCTTTACTCGATCCGTGCTGACTTCTTTTACATTTCTGGAACATGCCAAGCAAACTTCTATCTCAAGGCCTTAGTGTTGACAATTCTATCTTAGCTTCTCTTTCCCTGGATATCTGAATATCCATGTGGGTCACTTTCTTCTCCTTCAAATCTTTGCTCAAAAGTCTCCTCATCAGTGAGGACAGTATTAAACAGCTTATTTAAAATAGCAATACCACCCCTCAAACTCATGACTCTCCTTATCTGGATTTATTGTCCTTTAACACATGTACAGGTTGAGCATCTCTAATCCAAACACCCAAAATGCTCCAAAATCTATAACTTATTGAGTATTGACATGATGTCACACCTAGATAATTTCACACCTGACTTCTTGTGGTGGTTCATAGTCAAAACGCATTCAAAACTTTGTTTTATGCATAAAATTATCTAAAATAGTAAAATTACCTTCAGGATATGTGCATCAGTGTATATGAAACACAAATGAATTTCGTAATTTAGAGTTGGGTCTCATCGCCAAGAGATCTCATTATGTATATGCAAATATTCCAAAATCTGGACGAAAAAAGTCTGAAATCTGAAACACTTCCAGTCCCAGGTATTGTGGATAAGGGATCCTCCACATGTAGTAATTTTATTGCGGCTCTCCCCTCACTGAAATACCAGCTCCAGGAGGATGGGGCTTTTCATCTCTTTAGTCACTTATGCACTTGATGTGTCCTGATGACTTAGAACAATGCCTGACACTTAGGAAGTACTCAATAAATATTTGTTGATGTAAATCCATTGAAATACCAGCCCCATAAGGATGGGGATTTTCATCTCTTTTGTCACTTATGCACTTACTTGATAAATCCTCATTACCTAGAACAATGCCTGACACTTAGCAGGTACTCAACAAATACCTGATGCGAGCTCATGAAGTGAGTTTAGTTCAAGTGGTTTTTTACAATAGCAATTATCCTACAGTAAGGATGACTGCCTATATTTAAATTTCCTGACTCAGTAGATTGTCAATAAACGGGGACTATGATCTGAAAGCAAACCTCAGTTGAAAAAGAAAAGCATGTGCTTGTATGAGTTACAAGAAAGGGCTAAGTGCAAAAGAACTGCTGAGGTTAACATGAACATTGTTCTGTGAACTTATGGTTTAAATAAAATCTTTATCACCACACTTTCCAAGAGCAATATTTCTTATCATGGATGTACATAAAAAACTCTCGTGTCTTTCCTCTTAATACCCAGAACATTATTTTTATTTTATTTTTATTTTTATTACCGATTTTGCATCAGAGAATATTGTAACTCACTGCACCTAGGTAAAAACTAAAGACATAAATCTGATGTTAGTTCTAAAAATCCACAAGGGTAATGATATGAATTTCAGAGACATGGAAGCCTTGTTCAGAATAGATTATAACAGAAAGGCTCAGTAGAGTCAGGTTCATGAGTGTGTTACCTGTTCAGAAGTGGGTGCTTAGAAGGATCATGGCTTGGGTTAATGCTCTGCTGCTACCGTCTTGAAATCCTTAACAATTTATAAACAAGTGAACTTCATTTTCAGTTTACACGGGGCCCTGCAAATTATGTACCTGGCTCTATCTTCCTTTGTAAATGGAGAAACAGACTTCAAGAGTTTTGAAACTGCCATAATAGATCCAAAAATTGTGTAGGCTTTTCACAACTGTACAATTTTGTTACGTATTTATAAACATCTGCTGAATGGATGACTATGCATTGGCCCTCGTCACTTCAGAACCAGGTCTTGAACTTAGGGATTGTGGCAAGAAGGAACAAGGCACGTCCCGGGGGCTCACAGGGCAGGCCAGGTGGCTCACACTTGTGATCCCAGCGCTTTGGGAGGCCAAGGCGGGAGGATCACTAGAGGCCAGGAGTTCGAGACCGGCCCGGGCAATACGGCAAGATCCTATCTCTACTAAAAATACAAAAACAGCCTGGCGTGGTGGCATGCACCTGTAGTCCCAGCTACTCTGGAGGCTGAGGCAGGAGGATCACTTGAACCTGGGAGGTCGAGGCTGCAGTGAGCCCTGATCTCAACACGCACACACAAAGAATGACTCTCGGGCTTCTTTTTTTTCTAATGGACGGAGGTAAAACCTTGAAAGCACATGGTCAAGTGCCTGATTCTTCCAAAAACAAAAACAAAAAACTAGCCTCAATGAGGAGGTCCATAGCCTCCAGCTAACCAGATTTTCAGTCACAGTGCACCGGGGACCTAAAAAAGGGTCAATCTCAGCACCATGCACTCCACCGGGTTCCTTCCGCCCCTCGAGCCCAGGATGGGAGGAGCCGAGGAACCGAAAGAGAAAACAGGCCGTGCAGGCCGCGGAGGAGCCGGGCGCCTTAATGGAGCTCCGGACGCTGCTGTGGCTGCTGTGGCTTCTGTGCCGGGGCGGCGGCGATGCGGACTCCCACGCCCCCTTCACCCCGACCTGGCAGCGGAGCCGCGAGCATGAGGCCGCCGCCTTCCGGGTACCAAGCGCGCGCCTCCCCGGGTCTGTCCCTGCTCCCCCCACTTCCTGTCCCGGGTCTGGGCTGCGGAAGAGGGTCCCCGAGAGGCGACCCTGCTAGTGGGCACCCGTGGCTCTGCGATGCGTCTGGGGCACTGAGCTGCGGGTGCAAACTCCAGCTTCTCTCTCCCCTCCCCTTGTGCCATGGTGTCGCTCCCCCATGCCTTTGCTCACCAAACGATTTGATTTTCCAGAAAAGATTTGCCGCTATGAATTTTTGGGACGCATCCAAATGAATAAATAGATACGTCCAAAGTGTTCTTGGTGGGAAGAAGCACCCCCTTTTAGCAATCCCCTCGATCGTTGCCACTGGCTTCCAAAGCTCCTCTATTTCTCATTTATGAGAACCAGAAACAGGGAGCAGCCTGTTGGTGGAAGGAACCTGTCGTTTTTTTTCTTCCCGAGGAGGGCGCTAGTGATCGGAAGTTAGAGACAAAGAGCCTGCCTTTAGCCTGGTTAAAGAATCCGGATGGTTAATGATTCTCCTTAAACTAACGCACCACCTTAAAAGTTCTTCCTGCCTTGTTGGAGACTGAGTTGGAGAAAAGAGAAACATTTAATTTCCTTTTCTTATTATTATGAAAATCCTTTTATAATAAATGCTTAGATTTGAGTCTAGCATGAAATCTCTGGAAGGGACCGGTTAGCTGAGCACAAATAATGATTTTCCTGAAAGCAAGGAGACTGCAAGAGATGCCGCTTTCGTGCTTGCCTCACTATGTTCTAGATATCTGATACCATTTAACACGTTTTTAAATTCGTGAAAGATGCCATTATCATGATTTAATTTATTAGAAAAGAGCATTCATTCTGAATCAAACGTAAGTCTGAGTTCAGTAATATTGCTCAAGAGAGTGTATCTTTTTTCCTGGTGTTTGTTGGAATTTCTCACAGGATTTCATAGCTAAGCTCTTCCCCACCGCCCCCCCCCGCCCCGGAAAGCCCCAATGTTTAGGAAGGCCAGCCTTCCCTGATTCTGTCCACTCTTACGTTTCGTCCAAACCGAGATGTGTACTGTTATCTCCACTTTATTATTCTTGAGTTCAGTTCTGATTTTCAAAACCGGAAGTCCTCTTACTCTTTCAAGAACAAAATTCTGGCCTGTGTTCTACCCTTATTCTGAACTTAGGTTCGTTTTCCTGGTAAATCAAACCCATTAGGGGAAAAGTCAGTCTCACCTTTATTGATAACATATTCATTGGCTAAATAAATAAACACACTGTCAGGCTCCTAAAAATTAGTATTTCAGGACAAAGCTCAAAGGGGACTTACAAATATATTTTAACGGTTATTTAGATTTTAGATAATTTGTAAATATATATGTATATAATTTATGTAGTGACTCATACTGGTCCTGTAAAGAGGCTATACCCAGATGAACGTCTAGAAAATGTAACTTTTCTCAGGAGAAATACAAAGATCCAGGTTGAAAGATGGAAAGTTGGAAGTGGAGGAGGATGGAATTATGAAGACATTTAGTACATTTTAAAAACCTTTGGTTAAGAAATACCGAAAAAGTTTTCAAAGCAATTGCTGCCTGTAGGAATTTTCTTCATGAGAGGGATACACAGAAAGGAGAACAGTGAGGCTTCAAAGCACAGTTGCTGGAAACTGAACATCTCTTGGTGCTTAGTTGGACTTTATTCAAGAATGCTTTAAAACCGATTTTCTACCTTAGCAGTCCCCAATCTTTTTGGCACTAGGGACCAATTTCACAGAAGACAGTATTTCCATGGATGGTGGGGGTGGAGGAGGGAAGTAGGGGGATGGATGGTTTTGGGATGAAACTCTTTCATCTCAGATCATCAGACATTAGTTAGATTAGTTAGCTGGGGATTGCTGTTTGGACTTAGGATAGAGAGCTGGACACAGGGAAAGGTGGAAAAGGCCCTGCCTCCTTGGTAACCATGAAACTTCTTGTTGAAATCAAGTGAATTCATTGGTGAATTGATGACACAGGGTTTTGCAGCTGAAGATCTGGTTCAAGAAAGTCCTTGATTAATTAGTAACGTCTTTCATGATCATGGGTTTAGAGAATGGTGAAGGTTTTTAATTTGTTTTAATCTTAGCCTTAGATAGTTTTGTAAGTTTCCTGGGAATGCACCTTACATGAAAGTTAAGTTAGTCCATGACTTTCCCACAGAATATTATATTCTGTTCAGTGAAACCTAGACTCCTCTATGGTTTATTATGGGATGCCTCACAAGATACCTGACTTTGGATGACACCCCTTGTCTCTGCGCTTTCACTACTTTAGAAACTTCTAGTGCTCAGGAAGCTCTTAACTATTGGATTCAGCCTACTACTTTCCTTTGTGCCAAAACCTAGGTTTGCCCTCATATTTACTGATACTCATTATTTTACCACAGATCATTTAGCATTCTTATCCTTTGGGAGGCGAAGACCCAATATTGGATCCAATAAAAGTTTGATACTGTCACTTTAGAATAGTATCTATGCCAAAGCACATGTGATTTTCATAAAATTTCAGAAGCTTCACCTTAAGACCAGTTGCCATAATGACACAGGTTATATTATTATGAGATTATACATTTAGGAATGTTTATTTATGTATAAATAGATGGCCGTAGCATCTTTATAACAAGTGATCCTAACTAATGAGCCACTTATATGTGCTTGCCATAATCAGCCCCTTGAAATCTGGAATTAGGTCCTCCAAGTAGGCTTTATCCAAGAAAACTTTAAAACCTATTTTCTACCTCAGTGGTCCCCAAACTTTTTGGCACCAGGGATTGGTTTCATGGAAGACAGTTTTTCCACGGACTGGGGTGTGGGGGTGGGGTGAGAAGGATGCGGATGATTTCAGGATGAAGCTGTTCCACCCCAGATCATCAAGCATAGATTCACATAAGGATGGAGCAAACTAGATCCCTCACATGCGCCGTTCCCAGTAGGGTTTGTGCTCCTATGATAATCTAATGCTGCTGCTGATCTGACAGAAGGTGGAGCTCAGGTGGTAATGCTCGCTCACAGGCCCCTCACCACCTGCTGTGCAGCCCGGTCCTTAACAGGCCACAGACCAGTACTGGTCCATGGCCAAGGGGTTTGAGACCCATGTTCTACCTTATATAAAGATAAAAACATGAATTTGATGTTAGATAATGTTGTTCTGCAGACTTTTTCTGACAATTTTCACTTAAAGTATACATTGGCTAAATGGAAACGTAAACTTAAAATCATAGATTATAATTCATTCATTCATTCGTTCATTCATCTTCCCATACATTCATCCAATACTTTATTTAATTTCTATTGTGTCTAAAGAACTGGTCTGGGTTTTCTGAGGGATACAGTGGAGAATAAGACATGTGCTATGCTCTAAGAAATGTACACAAAAAATGAATATCGTTATGTTTAAACATTGTATTATCCATTTTCCTGTAAACAGAAAGAAGAATATAAACACTTATACACTAGAGAAATAGATTCTCCCAAGTAGTTCACAAAAGAATGTATTTTTAATTCAATCTTTTTGGGTGCATGCTCACACAAATACTGACTACACAGTTCTTATCATACATAGTAAATATATATCTGCATTATGTTTATACAGAGTTCAGTACACTGTATAGAAAATACTTTGTCTAAGAAACTTTTCAAAAGTAATTTATAAAAATGTATCCTTTAAAAAGCTTTTATTGTTCTAATCCGGGGCTTCTCAACAGTGGCACTATTGACATTTGAGAATGGATAGTGATTTGGTGTGGGGGGCCTTCCTCTTCATTGTAGGGTGAGTAGCAGCATGCATGGGCTCTATGCACCAGATGCCAGTGGCATCCCACCAGTGTAACAATCCCCAGTATGACAAATGAGGGACAAAATTATCCTCAGTTAGAATCACTGATCTAAAGTTTACAACTCCTAAGTCTTCCAAGAAATTCTCAGCAATGCTTTAATATTGTATACAAATATTTTACCTTTTTGCTCATCCTCAGATTTACTGCAATTTCCAGAAACTAAAGCACTCCCAAGGAGAACATTTTAAATCTATGTGTACAATTTATGATTTATCCTATGAAACTTCAAAATCTGCAAATGAAAGTTGTTAAAAGTCTGAGTAATGGAATGCAAGACAAACAATGAGTTTAAAGTGCCAAAGATAAAGTGATCTTCCGAAGTACCTTAGGCATCTCTGATAATTTCAATATAAAACTCATCCCATGGATACATGGGATTCACTGTAAGGGAATACACACATCATTGCATATGTTGATAAGGGCAAATAAATCATCATGATTAGTGGAAGGAAACCTAGATATCAATGGGGAAAAAATAATAGATGTTCACTGCCTTTTCAGCTGATAAAACAGACATGAAGTCCCTTAAAGTTTATGTCCCTTCGGTAGATTTCTTGCAGGCCAAATAACTATACCCCTCCACCAAATACTAGTTGTGTGACCTTAGGCAAATCATGTATCTGTTTCTCAGATTTTTTCATATGTGAAGAGCGGGTAATGTTAGCAATTACCTTTATACAGGACTAAGTTAATTCATATAAAACACTTGGAATGAATACTTGCATTCAATTTAACAATCCTTTCAACCCTTTGTATTTAGTGCATTCAGTGGCCGAGAACTAACTTTATAGAGAAATGAAAACAGTTTGCTCGTAAAGGATTCGCTTAGTCCTTTAGAAACAGTTGAGTACATGCAAGAAGAAAATACATGATTCCATTTATTCTTACTTAGTGGCAGTCTGTGAGAAAGATTTCACAGATTTTTTTCCCTCAGGGAAGTAGATTAAGGAAATGTCTGAGAACCCCTCAAGCCACCCTCCATGGGTTTCTGCTCTTAGATCGTTTTGAACATGACCATTTTCCTCTTAACTTACCCTAACCCGAGTATTGTCTAAGACTGTGGTTACCCACAGCTGGAAAGGTAAGAGGGCCGAGATGCCTGAGATTGCTGGAAGGACTATCTGATCCTGTAAGAAAAATGTTG